GTGCACGTCACACACTGAGTGAGCCGCCTGTTAATGACGCTGTCGGCTAAGCAGTAATGATTGTGCTAAGTGGCTAATGGGCATGTAGCTACTTACATGTTTCAGATGATGCGTCATGTTTGTTGTCAACCAATGATAGGCAAATGTTTGCCTGCAGAGTTTACATATCACTTTGGGTTCATCCTTCACCTTCTCAAAATGATTCCACACTTTGGATTTCCTGCCCGACGTGTTATCAACTAGCCTGTGGAATAACTGCAGGTACCAGCCCAGTTTATTAGGGGCCGAACACATGCTGCGTCTTTAACCGCCTGGAAGACGCAAGGTCGGGTTCTGGGCGCTACTCTTGAGCCTTTTTTGTGCCAGCTTTCAAGAGTGCGGCGGCAGGTTGCATCTGAGGTTGCTGTTTATAGGCACTGTTTATAAGTGTGTAGGCCTGTCGTCCATGGGACAGATNCAAATTGTCTGTGGGCTACAGTCCACTTCCAGTACAGTAATCGACACAAATCAATTAAATTAAAACACAGCCCTATAGCATCCAATACTTATAGGCCAATACTTAATCCTATCCTGAGAAGCAACGGGAAATAGTGTTTGTTGGTTTATTTTTAGAGCCTACCTTTAGTTTGAAAAGTTCACCCTCTCCAAGTCTGAACTTTTCTGTCCGTCAGAACAGGCTACTCCTCATTGAAAATGACATAAAAACAAAGTATAATGATAACTATAGCAGCATCCTATGCTTCAAAACTATTCAAGGTTTTTTTCGCCAGAAAAACCAGCATGTTTACTTTATCCAGCTGGATCAGGGCACGTAGCGGATTGACAACTTTGGCCGTAGTGCTGGATGGTTCAGGTGGACTTCTCCCTCCTCCACTCCGATGGCCACTGGACCTGCTGCTGCTGCTTGCAGAAGTTGCGAAGCTGTGATTTTTTTTTCTTCTCACGTCCGAGCTGTCACGTGATGACGTCACATCCAAAAACTATCAAAATGTCATCTCCCGACAACAGTAAAGGGCAGTTATAAGAGAAACATTATAGCCTACATTAGTTTTAAATTGTAATAGTATTAAATTCAAAACTCAACCACACATACATAGGTGCTGGACAAGCACTCATTATTTAGGCATTAAATAAATTATATTTAATATTATATCAGGCCCCTATAGGCCTTTATGCGCGGCAGATTTTATTTTATGACAGTAATGAAACTGGTACTGATTTTTAGATACCGCGGGATACCTTATTATTGCCCAACCCTAATCAGACCACAGTGATGGATGGATGCATCAGCAACACAGAGACTGAGGTTTACCTGTCTGCAAAAACCAGCTAAAAACACCACAAGACTTTGGAACTTGATGTCAAAACAGGATCTAGAAAAACAAGTAGCATTCTTTAAATCACTAGCAGATTGGACTGATGCAATGGACTGTTCACAGGTGTGTCTAAGACAGCAATCAGACTGCTTCAGCTTATCCAGCTGCAAAGATTTTAACAAGGACCAGAAAGTCTCAGCTTATAACTCCTGTTAGAAACAATGTTGAGACCTTTCAAAGCCAAGCTAAAGACCTATCTTTTCACCACTGCTTATAATTAATTCTCTTTTACATCAATTCCTATTTGTCTTTTCTTTTTTTTATTCTATGTGCTTTTGATTGTTTGCTTTTATTGTTTTTGTCATTTGCTTCTAGTGTTCATAACTAATAACCTGTAATCTGTAAAGCACTTTGGGTATGAAACGTGCCATATAAATAAATTTGCCTTACCTTCCTTATTCCATTCAAAATGCCAACTTCCTGCTCATGGTGATGTAACAATAGACAAGCTTTGCTTGTAGCTTGTATGGACTTGTCTGAGGCTACAAGTCAAATCACCCACACAAGTTAAACAAGAAGCAAGGAATGTCACAAGATCACCAACAGCAGAAGGAAAGTGTGCCTGTCTGAACAGACCAGTCTCAAATAAATGTAATATGTATTAGGGATCTGGATGTGTTTGTGAAGCATTTAAGCACTAATGATTAATAGCTCTGTGTAATCAGAAACACAACTGCTTCCAAAAGTCTATTTTAAGTTAAAATCCATCAGAAATATATGTGGAAAATGTTAAATAAATAACAGATACTCACAATTTCTTCTTCTGTTTTTTTATTTGGGCTTAGGGGCGGAGTATACAAATTTAAATCATTGCATTTTGTATTTATTTTAACGCAGATTTTCAGAGAACACTTGCAGCATGTTTTCTTTCAATATTGCCAAAATGACACCATTTATCATAACCAGAAATGCTTCTGCCTAGGGTTGCAATGGTATGAGATTTTCACTGTATGATTATTGTCTCAGAAAATATTGTGGTTTCACAGTATCATGATTTTACAGAATTATTATTATAATTATTAGTCAGAAGTAGTCAGTAGCAAAGAAGTGAAAATGGAAGGGTTACTTTTGGTTAAACAAGCCTTTTGTTATTATAATTGGAAATTTAAAGTTTGTTTTTGTTTGTTTTTAATGGAGGAATGTCTGCAAAGTCTCTCTTTTGAAAATCAGCAGAGGATCCAGGATACAATATATTGCGATATTGTGATATGCTGAGTATTGAGATAAAATGTATTGCCATTTATTACTTTTTTGTCAACTGTAAATTATGTCCCCAAAGGAAAAGTTTGTCAACATCTGTTTTATCTAATAAGATTAAGTCTTCAGTCTGTTCATCTCATTTCAGACTTTTTTTTCCCAGCAAAATTCATCTAATGGACTGAAAAAGCAAGTGATTATATTCTAGTAGTTTCCTCGAAATCACTTCATTCTAGGTCTCATTTAAATTTGGCGCAAAACAAAACAGTTTCACTAACTAACCAGCAGGCACAACAAGTGTTAAACACTAGGGCTGCCCCCGACTTAGAATTTTCCTAGTCAACCAAGTCGTTATTTAGGGCCATTAGTTGACATGTTTATGATACTGATGTAATTGTTGAATAATATATTTTGGACGGGGCAACATACTGGTTTGAGTTCAAGGTCTGAGAAGAACAGTAGTTTGTAGTAACACTGTTAACACTGTGCTACATTACAGAGAAATACAAAACCATACTAATGAACCTTCATTAATATCGGCCTGTATTTTATCTACAAGTGCACGTCACACACTGAGTGAGCCGCCTGTTAATGACGCTGTCGGCTAAGCAGTAATGATTGTGCTAAGTGGCTAATGGGCATGTAGCTACTTACATGTTTCAGATGATGCGTCATGTTTGTTGTCAACCAATGATAGGCAAATGTTTGCCTGCAGAGTTTACATATCACTTTGGGTTCATCCTTCACCTTCTCAAAATGATTCCACACTTTGGATTTCCTGCCCGACGTGTTATCAACTAGCCTGTGGAATAACTGCAGGTACCAGCCCAGTTTATTAGGGGCCGAACACATGCTGCGTCTTTAACCGCCTGGAAGACGCAAGGTCGGGTTCTGGGCGCTACTCTTGAGCCTTTTTTGTGCCAGCTTTCAAGAGTGCGGCGGCAGGTTGCATCTGAGGTTGCTGTTTATAGGCACTGTTTATAAGTGTGTAGGCCTGTCGTCCATGGGACAGATTTAAAGCTTAGGCAGCCGTGCACTAAAACGATCAACTTTTCCGTATTTATCAGACTGAATATTTACAGAAGAAGGGAAAGATATCTGTCATCTGTGACTGCTTTGTTAATGTGACTCCTGTCTGACTGCTGAGCATGGCCTCTTCCTGTGTTTGTCCTTTCAAATTAAATTCCCACATGGTCCAGTCATTACAGGTTTTGATTTATTTCAACAAAGCACAACTCCTAATAGAGTTTCACTTTTTTTTCCAGCATCTAAACAACCAATAAGATCTTGCCGACTAATGACCTTTCTGGTCAACTAACATTTGGTCAACTATCAGGGGGCAGCCTTATGAAACACCAAGGCTTTTTTCAACTCCAGGATTTCATCTTCAACTTTCAAACATCAAAAGGGTAAGTTTTAAAAATCTAACAATTAAGTTATGGTGGAGGGGGGGTCATGCATTTTCTGAGTCACTCAGTGAGGCTCAAGGAAAAATATCTGTGGCTTTGGGAAGGGTAAAAAATAAATAAATCAAGTCACACCCCAGCCACCACCATGTACCAACAAGTAAAGAACAGTCGCTAACTTAGTATATTAAACCTGATGAGGGCACCATTTCCCCTTTCACCCCCCAAACTGTCTGCACATTTGTGCAATAAGCGACATCATGTATCTTTACAGTGATACCGTGATGGACCTGAGCAAAGCAGACGTGCTACATGAGACAACATATCAGAGCAGGTAAAACACACACACTGAAACAAGACTCCAACAGGCCAAGCGAAGGCAACGGATCCCGTGATTCTCATTCCACACAGCTGTCTGACATCATTAGCACTCACCACTCAACGTCCATTTGCACAGTGGGCGCCGCTTACAGTAAAACCACATCGACTATTTGGCTTTGACAGCCTTTAATGTGATTACTGTAAAGCCTGGGAGTAAATTAAAAGTGAGGCCGCTCAGTGAGCCCGCGCCTTATATTAAAAGTGCTGGCAGAGCAGTCAACCTTCCTCATTTAAGTGCTTTAACAAACTGCCAATGGTAGGGAAGAAAAAATTATTGTAAGATTTTAGTTTAGCACTAGAGCCCCATGGTGGATTGGGGGGGGGGGGGGGGGGGGGGGGGGGGGGGGGGGGTCGCAATGGTGAGTGTATGACACGTATGTATCTGCGGGGAAATGTGACTATAGAGTAAATGCCCACAAAGTCTAACTTGCTTTCTATGTCTGCGCATATCTTCCACCAGCACTACAGTAGTGTTGAGCCAGCCCTCCCTCCTCTTGGTGCATCTCTTCCTACACGATGTCACACGTTGTGCAGCCTGTCACACAACCAGTTAGCGCTCTGAAAAGCGGCAACGGGCGCCACACTTCAATGAGCACAGGGCACACACGGCTCGTGGACGTAATTTGAAGGCTTTACGTACCCGAAATGTCGATGTTTCCCCGGTTCTTGAAGTTGAGAGTGTGTTGTGTAGCGGAGCAGCAGCGACAGAGTGGAGACTCAGCAGGAAGCCAGTAGCCTGGGCGGATAAATGTACCGCCGTGACGTCAGCGGGTCGGCGGTCTCCGGCGCAGATAGGGTGAAAAGGAGGTCTCACTCCTCAGTATTTTACTTCGTCTCAATAGAGACTGCTTCAGGTGAACTAAAACGCACCTTCTGTCTGGGTGGGCATGGAACTCTAATGTAAATACAGATTTTAGGAGTTAACATCCCATTACAGCCAGACTGTGCAGCTTCCAAGAGAAGAAATAAATAACTCATTATTCCATTTACAAATCTAAATTTTAATTCAGAATCTGTAAAACACACCTTTGCTCAGTTCAACAAACTCAAGGGGTTTTGCTACTACAGCCTCAGTGGTTAAGTATGACCAGTAGAAGCTTGTGGCTATAATTGTTGTAGGCTAAAAGTTGGCACACTTAAAGGTCTAGTGCAGTGATGATCAATTTATGGCCTGGGGGCCAAATCTGGCCCACAATAGAGTGTACCAGGGTTGACGTCAAAACCCGGAAGTTTAGCATCGCGCTGGTTCCCGGAAGAGAAAGTGAATGTGATTTTTGCATTGCGTTTTGGATTATGTCAGAAAATACCTTTTACACCGCATTTGAAGCTTAAATGCGATTGCCAGAAATAAAAAGCTAATGTTAGGCTTTAACGGACTACATGACTTCTCCACGGACTGTTTAAGCTAAATAAGAAGCTGTAATGGCAGACTGCCAGCACTCTCGCCTGTTCGGGGGTGATGACGTTTAATGTCCCCAGCAGGGTTTGTAGTCGTATTGAGCAACTTGTTAGCAACCGCCTTTTTTATGACACGTAAAAGCTTCAAAATTCACAAGTAGGGTATTTACTGACGTGTTTTATGTCATAACACAAAACCTGAAACTCGCTTAAGCTTTTGTTAACCACAGACCTTATTTGAGGCATTTTACCAAAATCCCATTCAAAAAACGTATTGACTTTTAGACGAGAGAACCGAAAGTGCTAAAAGCGCTAACGGAGTTCTGGGTTTACTGGCGCACTGTACTGACCTATGGCTAAGCCCCGCCCTCAAACGCAATGAGCCAATCACAGTGCGTAAAGCCATTCCTATACTCATACAGACATTCTCTGCCTGGACGTTCATTGAAATGCATTACAGAAAGTCAGTTTTGTTCGGTTTTATGAACTTTTTCGGAGATTTGGAGTTTAAAAATGATCAAATGGTGTGTATGGGGTACATGCAACTCCGACACAAGGTATCCTGAGAGGCTGGGCGACGGGGTATATTTTTTACCCTTTCCTAAACCACATCTCAACAGAGAAAAGTGTCTGCTTTGGATAAAGTTGTGCGGTAACGTTAGACCACAACATCAACTCAACGTGAATAAGATGTCTACATCTGTTTTAAGGTAAGTCAACATTGTGTTTGAGGCAACATATTGTCACTTCGCTGGAAAGAAATATAAAGTTATCTTTAACATCTCTAGCTAACGTTAGCTAAAGTTAGCCTACCCAGATAGCACACATACATCTGACGTTGGCCCGATGTATCAAGTTTAGATCGTTAAGACGTAGCAGGGAGAGCGTTTGCTCATTGCCAAGACGTCGCTGAGACATTGGCCTTTAATCGAAAATGACCACCACGCGACGTTCAAACAATCAATAAAATAAGCTGCGCTCAGTAGGCGTTCCTTCATTAATATTCATATGCTTCGTTAACTACGACCTTTATTCATTTAGGTCGGACCTTTCAAACTACAAATATTTCACCATCCAATGTGAGAAATCAGTGCTAACATTCAAAAATAGCTGACTGTTACCCTATTTCGTATGTAAGTGTGCACAATGAAGAGACAAAAGTCAATTTGACAAACTTTATTTTCAAATTTCCACAAACAATATCTGACGGCCAGTCTGCTTCTCCTGGCAGCCTGCAAGACACAGAAAAGACGATGAGCACATAACTTCAAGAAACAAATCCCAACTTCACCACTGTATTTTTTT